CAGCCTTCTGGTTAGCAGTCACATGCCTTAGGCACTAAATACATTAAACACTAGTACCCTATTTTTATGCAAGTAAATACTTTTACATGGTGGCTTCCTCCTCCAGAGGTATTTTTGTATGAATGCTATACTGTTTTTTTTACATGTTGCTATAAAAGACATTAGCATAGCACACTTAAGAAAATATCTCATGGGAGACAGGTGCACAGCTGGCAAAAAACATACAACACATCGTTAATGGTATAAAACAAAAAAAGGTAGTGTCTCTTAAATTCTATTCTGTAGGTTCTTAAATATTGTTTAATTCTCTCAGGTATGATAATCAGGAGAGATCAATAAATGCAAAAAATAAGGACTGAAGGTCAATGGATAGCCCTTTGTTATGGATTGAATTGCATCCCCCCCCAAAAAATATTGTTAAATCCTGGCCCCTATACCTATAAAATAAGGACCTTCGGTGATGTGGTGGTGGTTAAGGCATTTGACTGCTAACCAAAAACGTCAGTGGTTCAAACCCACCAGCTGCTCCATGGAAGAAAAATGGGTTAGTCTGCTTCCGTAAATATTTAGAGCCTTGGAAACCCAATGGAGGTTGCTATGAGTCTGAATCAATGCGGTGGCTGTGAATCAGTCATACCTATAAATATGTTGTTTGGAAGTAGGGTTTTCTGTGTTATATTAATTAGAGTGGGTTCTAAATCTAAACACTTCTTTAGAGTTGAATGTACACAAAAACATACAGAGGTTGAAGAGGAAGAGACACACATTGGAGACAGATGCATCTACAAAGATTGCTGGCAGTTACTAGAAGCTGAATAGAGAATGAAGTACCTCTTCTTAGAGCCATGCCCTAAATTTGGGCTTTTACCTTCTGGAACTCTGAGGAAATAAATTTATGATCTTTAAAGCCACCCACTTGTAGTATTTGTATTTGTGTTATGGCAGCGCTAAGTAAGATGTCTTTCTTTGTAGGACTTTCTGTGGGGAAATAAGTTTATATTTGGGCCTTCAGAGATTACTTCATCAGGATTGTGGATATAGTGTGTATTAGTTTCTTAGAGCTGCTATAACAAATTACTACAGACTAGATGGCTTAAAACAGTAGAACTTTATTCTTTCACAGTTCTAGAGACCAGAAGTCCTGAATCAGGTAGGCTTATTTGCCTGTGGAATTTCTGAGGGAAAATCAGTTCCATGACTCTCTCCTAGTTATTGGCAGTTCTTGTTGTTCCTTGGCATGTAGGAATCCAATCTCCACCTTCATCTTTACATGGCCTTCCCCTCTGTGTCTCAAATCTTTTCCTTTCTTTTATAAGACACTTGTCATTTGAATTAGGATTCATTCTAAATTCAAGATAATCTTATCTCACAATCCTTAACTTAATTACATCTCCACAAACCTATTCCCAAGTAAGGTTACATTCACAGGTGCTACCACAACTCATTTTTTATTTTGTCATACTGTGGTGGGAGTATTGCTTTGATGCTGGAAGCTATGCCACTGGTATCTAAATATCAGCAGAGTCACCTATGGTGGACAGGTTTCAGTGGAGCTTCCAGACTAAGACAGAATAGGAAGAAGGACCTGGCATCTGCCTTGAAAAAAATCGGGCAATGGAAACCTTATGAATAGTGACAGAACATTGTCTGATACAGTGCAGGGACATGAGGCTGCCAGGTCGGAAGGTACTGAAAATAAAACTTGGGAAGGGCTGCCTTCTCAAAGTAGAATTGACCTTAATGACGGATGGGGTAAAGCTTTCAGAACCTTCATTTGCTTATGTAGCATGACTCAAAATGAGAAGGAATAGCTGAAAATATCCATTAATAATTGCAACATGGAATGTACAAAGTATGAATCTAGGAAAATTGGAAATTGTCAAAAATGAAATGGAATGCTTGAAGATTGATGTGCTAAGCATTAGTGAGCTGAGATAGACTGGCCATTTTGAGTGAGAGAATCATGTGATCTACTGTGCCAAGAAGAACAAATTGAAGAGAATAATTTCACAATCATTAACAAAAAGAACATTTCAAGATTTATCCTGAAGTACAACATTGTCAGTGATAATATCACATCCATACACCTATAAGGAAGACCAGTTAAAACAACTATTATTCAAATTTATGCATCAACCACTAATGTCAAAGATGAAGAAATCTAACATTTTTACCAATTTCTCCAGTCTGAAATTGATCAAACATGCAATCAAACTGTATTGATAATTACTGGTGATTGGAATGCAAAAGATGGAAATGAAGAAGTATCAGTGGTTGGGAAATACGGCCTTAGTGATAGAAACAATGCCAGAGAATGCGTGATAGAATTTAGCAAGACCAATGACCTATTCATTGGAAATACCTTTTCAACAACATAAATGGCAGCTACACACATTGTGCTTACTGCATGGAATACACAGGAACCAAATCAACTTCATCTGGGTAAAGAGATGATGGAGAAGCCCAGAACAAGGCTAGGGGCTGTCTGTGGAACACACACACCATCAATGCTCATAACCAAATTCAAGGTGAATCTAAAGAAAATACAAGTCCACAAGAACCAAAGTACAGCTACTGATCCTTCTTTGTTTCCAGCTTTTGCATTTCAATCAACAGTAATATCAACACATTTTGATTGGATGTTTGATCAACTTCAGGCTAGAGAAGTTTAGAGATTACCTCAAAAATAGATTTGACACATTGAACACAAATCATCAAAGACTACACAGGTTGTGAGATGACATTAAGGACATCATACATGAAGAAAGCAAAAGGTCATCAAAAAGATAGGAAAGGAAGAAAAGACTAAAATGAATGTCAGAAGAAACTCTGAAATTTGCTCTTGAACTTAGAGTAGCTAAAGTGAGTGGAAAAATGATGACATAAAAGAGCTGAACAAAAGATATTAAAAGGATACCTTGAGATAAAGTATTACAATGAAATGTGCAAAGATCTGGAGCTAGAAAACCAAAAGGGACAAACACGCTTGGCATTTTTTAAGCTGAAATAACTGAAGAAAAAATTTCAAGCTTTGAGTTATAATACAGAAGGATTCTTTGGCTAGAAAATTGAACAATTCAGGAGGCATGTCCAGAAGATGGAAGGAATGCACAGTCACTCCACCAAAAAGAGTTGGTCAATAATCAGCCATTTCAGAAGGTAGCATGTGATCAAGAACTTACAGTATTGAAGAAGTTCAAGCTGCACTAAAGGCATTGGTGAAAAACAAGGCTCTGGGAACTGATGGCCTACCAATTGAGAAATTTCAACAAATGGATACAACTCACTTGTCTATGCCACGAAATTTGGAAAAGAGCTACCTGGCCAACTGACTGGAAGAGATCCATATTTTTGTGCCCATTCCAAAGAAAGGTGATCCAACAGAATGTGGAGATTATCGAACAATATCATATCATATGCAAGTCAAATGTTGCTGAAAATAATTAAAAAATGGTTGTAGCAGTACATCAGCAGGGATTGAAATTTAAGCTGGGTTCCAAAGAGGACAAGGATGAGGGATTTCATTGCTGATATCAGATGGTCTTGGCTGGAAGCAGACAATACCAGAAAGATCTTGACTGTCTTTTATTGACTATGTAAAGGCATTCGACTGTGTGGATCATAACAAATTATGGATAACATTGCAAAGAATGGGAATTCCAGAACACTTAATTGTACTCATGAGGAACCTTGTGCATAGACCAAGTCTGTTGTTGGAAAAGGACAAGGGAATAGTGCATGATTTATAATTGGGAAAGGATGTATCCTTTCACCATACTTAGTCAGTCTATTCTGAGCAAATAATCTGAGAAGCTGGACTATATGAAGAATGTGGCATCAGGATTGGAGGAAGAGTCATTAACAATGTGCAATATACAGACTACACAACATTGGTTGCTAAAAGTAAAGATTACTAGAAGCACTTACTGATGAAGATCAAAGACTACAACCTTCAGTATGGATTATACCTTAACATAAAACAAAAATCCTCACAACTAGACCAATAAGCAACATCATTCTAAATGGAGAAAATATTGACGTTGTCAAGAATCTAATTTTCCTTGGATCCACAATCAATATCCATGGAACCAGCAGACAGAATCTCAAATGACATATTATACTGAGAAAAATCTGCTGCAAAAGCCCTCTTGAAGGTGTTAAAAAGCAAAGATGTCACTTTGAGGGCTAGGGTGTACCTCACCAAAGCCATGGTATTTTTATTCACCTCATGCATGTGAAGGCTGAACAATGATTTAAGGAAGATCAAAGAAGAATTTATGACTTTGAATTATGGTGTTGGTGGAGAGCATTAAACATTCCATTGCCTGACAGAAGAAGAATCTGTCTTGGAAGATGTATAGCCAGAATGCTATACTTCCCCAGAAGGGAAGATGGTGAGACTTTGTCTTGGTTACTTTGGACATGTTATCAGGAGGGACCAGCCATGAAGGACATCATCCTTGGTAAAGTAGAGAGTCAGCCAAAAAGAAGATCCTCAGTAGATGGATTGACACAGTGGCTGCAGTAACGGGCTCAAACATAGAAACAGTGGTGAGGATGGCACACGACTGGGCACTGTCTCGTTGTTTTGTACTTAGGCTCGGTAAAAGTCAGAACTGACTAGAAGGAACTTAACAACAATGGATGTTGTTGTTATGTGCCGTCAAGTCAGACCCAACTCATAGCAACCCCCCCTTGGGTTTCCGAGGTGGTATCATTACAGAAGTAGATTGCCCAACCTTCCTTCCGAGGAGTGGCTAGTAGGTTTGAACTGCCAGCCTTCTGGTTAGCAGTCAAGTACCTTAGGCCTATACTACCAGAGCTCCTTAACAACAATGTATACAGCTGGTATTATGACTTAATGCTTATCATTTTTGGGGGCTGCTATTCAACCCAGTCCAAATGTAATTGTCCACCTTCCTCCAGATTTTACAATATTTGATTTTATCAATAATTGAATGTTTTTGTGAATCCTGACTGTATTGTGACTTTATTTTCAGGATAAGGGAGATCTTAAAGGCATCTCGAAAATTGCAAGGAGACCCAGATTTGCCGATGTCATTTACTTTGGCCATAGTGGAGTCTGATTCCACAATAGTCTATTATAAGCTCACTGATGGATTTATGCTGCCAGACCCTCAGGTCAGTTTTGAAGTAACTGACAGAAAACAGTGAAAAAAATGGAGAAAGTATGAGATGATTTTAAGTGCAAATCAAGCCATTGATAGAACTGCCACTTCTCTCACAATGTGAAGAAATTTAAGAAAAAAAAAAAGGTTTTATTTTCATACCTCAGAAAACTGGCTATATTTTGTTCAAAGTAATACATTTCTAGTTATTTCCCCCAAATCACTTGATTCCACTACTCTATAGAGAAATTCATAGCTTCCCAGAATACTTCATGAAGCAATTATATATTTAGTTGTTTAATGAGTAACTGAGGTGTAACATAAAGATTAATAATAATTTTAACTTAAAGAGCACTTCTTAATGTTAAATTGTTTGACATTTTGATACATACAAGTTAATATATTAAGTGTATATGATTGTTTTACATATTTTATTGTTATAATTGAGATATTTGTATTAAATATCTTCCTAATTTTGCTCTTAAATCATATTTACAGGGTAAAAAGTCCATCCTGATTTTTTTTTTTTCCTTTTATGTTGTAGAATATTTCACTTAGAAGATGACAACTGTACTTCCTGATGCTTACTTTGTTCATATGAGATTGGATTTGAGACTCATCAACTTGGTTACCTTTCTTCTCAGAGATAGTCAGCATTAATTCTATAAGTTTTCTGATTCATTCCATAAGTTTTCTTTCTGAAGAATAAATATTTCCACATAGAAAAATGTTTTTTCTTAAAAAATGTAGTTCTCTAGAACTTTCTTGTCTGGAGACAGTTTAATTACAGTTGTAAACAAGTTTATGCCAAAGATGTGTTCAGAAAGGTGGAACACACTTTGCTCTGTGATCCCACACTCATAGCTGCCCCTTCGTTCATTGATGCCACTGCTGCTCATTGTTTGGTGTGCCACATTTTCCCTTTACTCAGTGTTCCCAAATCTTTTTGGCCACTACAACTAGCCTGGAGTGGCATTTCATATACACTGATGTTTTGAGAGTTTCTCTCTGTTTATTCATCCCACAGTAGAAAGTAAAAGATTTCTTTCAATTGGTTTTCATATTGCAATTACTCATATTTCTCTCTTTGGGTGGCTTTAAGACAAAACTAAAAATATGCTTATCCTGACCTTAAATTTATATGTTTAGATTAATAGGACTAGAGAAGTATTGGGTCTTCCTTTCCTTTCTTTTAATCACCATCCTTATTATCTCAGACCTGAAATATTACAAGACAGAGTGTGGGACAGTATCAGCCTTAAAAATATCTTTCTTAGGTAGACTATTATTCTAATTTTGTTAATCTCTCTCAATTAAGTTGTGCAAAGAATGAAAAATTATATGTATAAAAATGTTTCCAATAGCATGATTTGTAATATTCTGAATTATAAACCACTTAAAAAATTTAGGGCCAGGATCAGGAAACCTTTTCTTTAAAGGGCCAGGTGGTAAATATTTTAGGCTTTGCAGGCCACATAGTATCTGTCATAATTTCTCAACTCCGTGATTTGCAGTGTGAAGGCAACCATAGACAATATATAAACAAATGAGTATGCATTAATTCCCCAAAACACTTTATTTATAAATGCACAGCCATAATTTGCTAACCCCTGGTCTAAGGGCAAGGGTCAATTACTTTTTTTTTAATAGGAAAGAAAGTAAATATTTCAGGGTTTACAAGCCTTATACAGAGTATCATACATTCTTATTTCTTTACAACTCTTAAAAATGTAAAAATTACTCTGCTTGTGAACTGTACAAAAATCAACACTGGGCCAAATGAAGTCCATTTGCCAACCCCTGGTCTAGTGACCAGTTTTTTGGTTTATATGTACATTCATTAAAAATTAGTAATGAATATTATGGAAAAAAAAACATGGGAAAGTGTTATATTAAGTAAAAGACCAAGATACGGAAATGTAGGAATGGGTATGCTTATGGCTATAAATAACACACCACACATAAAATAAAGGATAATAAAGTAAATACAATTGCTAACTATGTTTATGATAGGATGGCAAGGCAATAAATGGATGACTTTCTCTTTTCCCAATATTTCACTTTTTCTTTACCCTATTTGTATTACTTTTATAATAAAAATGTTTTAAAATTTAAAAAGTGTTCTGAAATATGTACTAGGAATCTATTGTTGTGTACCAATATTATACAAATTTAGCAGTTTGAAACTGCTGACATATATTCTCTCACCATTTTTGTGGGTTAAGAGGCTGAGTGCAGATTACTTGGTCCTTTGCAAAGCTGCTATCCAAGTGTTTTACAGGCCAGCAGTCTCATCATAATTTTGACTGGGAAAGGGTCCACATCCTCACTCATTTGGTTGTTCCCAGTCTTCAGTTCCTTGTGGGCTTTTGGGCTAAAGACCTTAGGTTTTAGCTGGCTGTCAGCCACATAGCCCTTCTCAAAATGGCCAGTTATTTCCTCATTGACAGCAGGGGAAAGAATCTCAGCAAGATGGACATTATAACTTTATGTAATGTAATCAAGTATATCCTGTCACCTTTGTTACATTCTGTTGGTTAGAAGCCAGTCACATGTCCTATCCAAAATCTAGAATTCCATAGCTAATTAGGAAACAATTACAAGGGTAGAAGAATGATAAAAATTAATAGTATTACAAAGTGATAGTTCCTAACTCTTTTCTTTTGTATTTGGATTTTGCTTTTATTCTTTATTTATTTTTAAATTGTGATTTGGGTGAAAGCTTATAGAGCAAAATTGGTTTTCCGTTCAACAATTCATACACATTTTTTTACATTCATTGCAATCCCCATAACAATACTCTTTCCCACTTCTTCCCTATGTTTACCATTACCCTTTGTCCTTCTTTCCTATCCCTTCCTGCCTTCTGAGCTTTATCCCTGGGCAAATGCTCCCCTTTCGATCTCATGTGGTTAATGGTTCCAATGAATGCATGCCTCCTTGCTATTGTTCATGTGATAAGCCTGTCTATTGTTTGGCTGAAAGTTGAGCTACAGGGGTGAGTTTAGTTCCAGGCTTGAAGAGTGTCTAAGGGCCATCGTTTTTGGGTTCCTCCAGTCTCTAGCAGACCAGTAAGCTTGGTCTTATTTATTTATTTAATGATTTTTGAGATTTTTTCCCACATTTCCTCCCACCCTATCCGGGACCTCCTATTGTGATCCATTTCAGAGTGGTCAGCAGTGGTAGCTGGGCTCCATCAAGTTCTTCTGGTGTCAGGAGTGTGAAGGCTGGTGTTCACATGGTCCATTAGTCCTTTGGACAAATTTCTTCTTTGCATCTTTCATTATCTTCATTCTTCTTTGCTCTGGATGGAGAAAGACCAATTGTAGCATCTTAGATGACCACCCACAAGCTTTTAAGACCCCAAGTGCTATTTACCAAAATAAGATGTAGAATATTGTGTTTGTGGACTGTGTTAATGCCAATTGATCTTGGTGTCCCCTGAGACTATGGTGCTAAGCCACCTCTCTGCCTGGCAACTCATTCCCTCAAGGTCTTTGATTATGGCTAAAAAGTTTTTATAACTTTACCCTCTGTATGCTCTACTATATTCAGGATATATTTGTAGCACATATAAATGTAGAAATATCCTCTATCAAACCTATATATATATATGTATTTGTGGATATAGTCTCATTCACTTTCCCAACTCTGTTCAGCTTGAGTGTCTATTATGTATCTACTTGTAAATTATTGTTATTGCAGCATTATGTATGTAATAGTGTTTACCTTTTTTTTGCCTTTAATTCTTGATGGAAGTTCTTGGCAGCTCCTTCATACACTTTCTACTTCCCTAGAATTCCAGACAATGTACTATTCAGAACAATGTTTTTCTGTGACTCTACTGTACAATTTGGAGATCTAAGAACGCTAAAACAGTTTATTTTAAACTTTTAGGATCTCTGCCAATTAAATACTTTTGAGGTTTGTTTTGTTTTTTACTTATAGTGCTAGAAAAGCAGCATGCATTTTCAGAAAGAAGTGTAAGGTGTCTTTTGAGATTGACTATGAAAGGAGCTTTCTTCAAAGAAATCTTTAAACTAGACCTCAATTCCACTGTATGTCCTGAGATGTTTACTCTATTTCAGAATGTTCCCTGTGTGCTTGACCAAAGATGTTCCTGTCTAAAGCCAGTCAGATGTCAGCTAATGTTGTAATAGTCCAGGAAGGTTTGAAAAGGGAGGCAATCCAGCCTTGTCTGTCTGTTTAGGTGAAAACTAGGTAAAGTGATTAATTTTGTTTGATGAACTAATTTCTGTAATTGCATTTGCATTTGTCACCCTTCTTGGCCTGTGAGCCCCTTAAGAACAGATCTAGGAGCTAAGTTGGTTTTTCTACCTGTTTCCTACCACCATCCACGGTAACTGGCATATAGGTGACTATCAATAAATATTTGATTAATGAATGAATGGATGCTGATTATAGACATATATATACTTTTTGCCTCAAAGTAAATTAAAATTGTCCATTTGGACACCAGAGGGCACTACTGGATAAGCACAAAATTTCAGACTTGAAGATTAGTTTGAGAATTGGTGCTCTTGAAAATTTATTTTTAATTGGTGGGAAATAACATAAATAAAAATAAAGTTTTATGTGCTCACACCCCCTTTTTCATTCTGGTATAACTCTAAAATTACATTTCTGACATTAAGTATGTGATTTGATTCATCCTTTGTTGAACATGGGGATCTATATTTAAAAACGAAAGCTATTTGGGGAGATAGTTTTTTCTAGATTGATTATGTTCATATCCATATGAAAATGTGCATTTCAGCTTTTCATTGTGAAAGCCTTATTTTTTAAAATGAATTTCAGGATCAGGACACAAGAAATCTCAGCTCTGAAACACGGTACAGGCTAAATACTTGTGGTGAGACGCATAAACTGGTACAGTTATATATATGAACTTTCCCATAAATGGAGAGCCTTCTCTAGATGGACGTAGGAAAGAGGGAAAGGGTGGACAATTGATTTCGGTCTGGTGCTGACCTCCCTTTGTTTTCTATAGTCCCTATTCGTTGTTCCTCGTGCCTGGGATGGCTCAGTGGAACATTGAGTAATCTTAGTCCATTGACCTCAGACTAATTTGTTTTGCTTCCCCTCTTCAGAAGAATGTATTCCTAAACACCATAGATCTGCTGTAAAGAACATGAGGGCAAAGGCACTTTGGAATTCTAATCTACGGTTAGAATAGTAGTCTCCTATAAAGTTCATGTAATCTGTATTTTTTTGGTCAAAACAGCTGTACGCTTACAATAAGCGTAGAGCCAAATGACTTAACCAAAACTTCGTGTTGCTTTATCTTCTCTTACTGAACATTTCTGGTCTGAATTCCTCTCTGAAGTCACTTTTTCCATTGCAGCCCCCAGCAAGGTTTTTTTTTTTTTCCAAACAGCAATACAGTGGTTCTTGCCAAACTTTGTACTTCTTCTATACAGAAGCTCTTTATTTATCTGCCATATTTTACCTTGAGTGTTTACATATGCAGAATAATGTAGTGTCCTCTGAACAAATAATAGTACAGCTTTCCCTTTCTGGCTAATAGCTGTTCTGTTCTTTACC